GCAGCTGCTACCAGGACTGTGCTCTGTTCGTATTTGTCAAGTCTCATGGATTTATTATACCAGAATCCATATTTTATGTTGAAAGTACTCCATTCTTACTTGGCCAAATTCCTCTTTACATCTGCTGTCCCAAGACAGGATTGCTCACCCCACACCTGCAGAGGAGATCACAGTGACACCTGAAGAAAATAATTTACCTGCTCTTGAATAACAGTAGTTTCTTGAAACCATGACTATGCTATAGAATAAATTTTAAACTAATCAATTTTATGCAATGAATGCAATATTAGGACCCCTAAATATTAATAAAGTAGAATTCTTTTCACATTTTATTGATATAAATCTGAAATAAACCTTAAACCATGTTTCACAGTGTTGGTACTGCATTCAACTAAGTGAACAGAAAATAAGCAATAATGATTCAAAAAGCAGAAACATAATTTGAAGTGCTTTTGTTTCTTTGTTTCATGAAAGCGATTCTCAAAATAACTTCATTCTGAATGGAACTCATCAATGTGTGCTTATCCCCCCTTCCCTTCGCAAGCCTTCTCCAACTGGCTAAATGTGGTGACGGGAGCTTTTCGGATTAATTTTCCTTAAGTGACCTACTTTGCAGAGAAAGATAATCATGCATTTATAGCCTCTGGCACACTATTCAGGTCACAGATGGACAGATACCAAAGCAATTCCTCAGTGACTTACTGGGCTTGTAACTAATCCCCAGTGAGAAAGGAGATTGGCCTGATGTTAATTGGCCAGAATGCCTGAATGTATGGAAGGAAGATCATTGACTCCTACTTTAATTTTCAGAGGGTATCACAGGTGGAGTGGTATCACCAGCTGTTTTTCTAGGAGTGTTTTGTGAAAGTGTTTTGTGAGAGTGATTGAATTACAGGATGTCACAGATGCTGAAAATCTCATTTTGAAACATTTGCCTTGACAGTGGGGCACCATGTGCTGTTCTGACGGTGGACATGTCTAAAGTTACACATATACCAGATACTGTGGCCAAAACCAAGGACAGGAGATTCGGGAGAGTTTTGACCTTTTGCTCACTTAAAGGCACTTGGAATCCCGTGAAGAGTTGTCATTGTCAAACCCAAACCTCTGCTATGAAAGTTGGTGGGGTTTTTTGGGGTTTTTGGGGTGGTTTTTTTTGGGTTTTTTGTTTAAATTAATATGGTAGTTGAGCAAATAAAACTCATAGTTTGCTATTATTCTTTAGAGGATCTCTTTCTCTCTCTTGTATTTGGCACCAATGGGATACATGCAAAACAGCTTGTCCTTGTGTTTTCAGATGTTCTGAAGTTTCACAAGGGAAATGACCAGGCTTTATTCTCTATTAGGGTATTTTTAAAACTTTTGTGTAGCTTTTCATGCTGAAAAATAGGCAACAAGCCAGAGTGTTAAGAACATTTCTTTTTTTGAAGGATTGTCTTGAAACTCTGGGCTTGTCAGGCAGTCAGTGATGTTAATTCTGACAGGTTTCAAGAAATAACTGTTAAAATTGTGACACTGCCAGCAAAGGGATGGATGGCTTTCAGAAGAAAACAAAGCATGCATGCAGGTTAAATTCTTGCACCACAGGACTGCAAGTAGGTATGGCCATGTGTCCCTCAGTGTCTATATACAGCTCTCCACAACACTGCAGAGCTGGAAAGTGCTCTGGCAGATATTACTGTTTGGATCAGTGTGATTACTGAGTAAGTGTACATATTTTAAGTGCTTTGTAGAGTACATAGTCTCAGAACACATGAGGGATGATTCAGATTAGGTTTAGGTATTTACAACTCTTATGACAACCTGTGTGTATTTTCTATTGCAGTGAGAGCAAAATCAATTCCTTTTAGCAGCAAGCCTTTCAGACAGGAATTAAATATAAGGTTTTAGAGAGAAAGAGTGTGTGCAGCTCTCCTGTACCTATCCCGAGGGACTGTAGTGCACCTGTTTCACCATCAAAATTCCAGCTACATGCTTGAGCAGTTTCTGGGACCCCTTTGGACTTTCATGTGTCCATCATCTTCTTGATATCTGTGTTCGCTTTCACAGAGGTTAGTCTCAGTATCTCCTCCTCCAAGGGACAATTTCATTGTGTCTGAATCATATGTTTCTCACTGCTTTCTCAGGAAGGGTTGGTAAATTTGAACCAGTAATAGCTTTACAGATACAAGCTTCAATGGAGATATTCTCAGTCTAACCTAAGAACAGCCTGCTATAAGTGCAAGTGCTTTTATCTGGTTCTAAAGTAACTAATATAAATCCAGTTTAACCAAACGAATCCCTAGAACATAATTTCATTATCTTCTTGGGTTTTTTTATTTTGTTTGTTTTAATTTCAAGAAAGTATTTGAGAAAAAAAGTCAGAACTGCCAGGACTGGTTATGGGCTATTTTAATCAAATTATTATTTTTTGAAACAAAAAAATCCACACCCTTGGGACTGTGTTTCCCAGTATGATATCCATTAAAAAGAAACAGGGTAAATCTAAAGAGTTAGGAAGCCTTTGTATATTACCACATAGAGAACTAGACTAGTTTAAGTAACGTGTTTCCATTTTATGGTGCTGTAGTAGAATTTGTAGCAGATACAGTAACAATTATTCATAGCAAAAAAACCCCAGTATATGCTACAAGCAAGTCAAACCTGTATTACAACAGGAACATTCCTGCCGACTGTGGAGGTCTCTTAGGGAAAAAGAGTACCACTGAGAAATAATACTGATGCATTCCTACTGAGAATAACCAACTGAAGAGTAACCAGATTCAAAGAAACCTTACAGCTTTTAAGCTAGGGTAACCATAGCAGTAGTAGAAAATACATGCTTCATATTTCATACTGACATTCCATTATACAAGGAATAACTTAAAAGCTCCTGGCTGATTTCTTGGGAGACACTGTAGTAGGGGCACCAGGCAAAGGTGAAAGTGATACATGCCTCAAATCACCCTCATCACTACCTGAGAGGCTGACTTCTGGATTCTTCATGGACTGGAAGGGTATCATTGTCGATATATGCATTAATAGATGGAAAAAAAAGTCCTTTCTGTTCTTTGGATAATGAATGATCAGACAGTTCGCAGCCTTTCTGACTGCCTCAGATACACCTGTGTTCGGTCAGTTTGCATGCATATATCTTCTGAGGGCAAAGATGAGTAGTAAGGCACATTTGGTAAGAGAGTATCAGTCTCATATGTAAACAATTTCCTAGAAGTAAGTTGTAGCCAATAGTCCTGCAGGACTGCTAAATGGAACTCACTTGCATGAAACTACTGGATTGGATATTGTCAGATCAGAACATCAGGAGAGAAGTATGAATATACTAATGAACTAGATATTTTGAGCATTCTTCTAATACAGTTTGTTTATCTTCTGGGCTACTGTAAGTGAAACTTAAATCTGATTAGAGGAACAGAACAGTGAACATGGTTACAGAAGTCATGCTTATCTTAAATATGTGAGACTGTGTCCCCTGAGGAAGTAGGATCATAACTATTTTAGTTTAGTCCTTTAAGATCTAAAATTTCCAGTGGTGAACTTGTAATTAGTTGTATCATTAAATGCTAGATCATATTCCTATTCTGGAGGAACTTGTATTCCTTTTCAAGGGGACGAAGTATTGTTTGGAAGGAAATGCTGTACTGTAGAAGAATTAGATCTAATATTTTAGTGAAACATGTGGTCTGAATAGGTAATGAATGTTCCCCCGAGTCTGGTTAATTTTGAACACCTAAGAAGCATTTGTAGGAGTCATAACGTTTTTGAAATATGCTTTGATGGGATGGACTTTGCATATGCAGGAAGTGGAAGAAAGAAACCAAGTGGATAAAATCATGGCAAAATATTTCACTATAATGAGTACAAAGTTCAAATAAATATATAAACTTACATTCAAAATAGTAATTAATTTAATATTAAGAGATATATTTAAAAGATATAATTATATAATAATAATTCTTCATGGAACATAATTTTGGTCAGTTACAGATTTTTGGTTTTCACTGATGCCTTTAGTAGTGAGCTAATGCAACAAAATTAATTATTTTCTACATGTTCTGTCCATGTAGGTGTGCAACTCACATGGTGTTAGCATTATACAAGTAAACATTAATGAGCTATTTGCATATAAAGCATCTAATGCATTCACCTGATGTGTCCAAGATACTTTCCCCTTGCATACTGAGTGTACAGATATGGTCTGCAGATGATGGCAAACTAATTACATGTGAAAATTAAAGCCCTGTATTTGCTAAGAGAACAACTAAATTGTAAGCAGAAATTTTCCTCTATAGGCTGCTTCAGTGAACCTCAACATCAGATTCCACTTTGAAGTAAAGCAGTAGTATATCCATCCTACTTGATCTCTACTCTTTTTGCTCATATTAGTGAGGAAAAACATATTAACAGTATTATGAAATTCAAGATCTTTGAATTTGCAAGAACAAATTAAATATGGTGTTTAATAATGTATATTTCAGGAATGGAAGACTTGTATTAAGACAACAAAGCTGCACATCCAAAGCACGTGATTAGCTCTCTTTAATCAAGTCAAAGACAAATATTTTTCTACCACACATTTAATACAGTAGTGGATTAAAAAAGCACTTCTATTCAATAGGCATATATTAAAAGCGTGACTAATCATATACATATTCCCAAATTTCATGCTGTTGCTTTTGAGAAGCTAATGTGGATTTCATGATCTTTAACATTTTATTTATAAATACACCCTGTTGAATGGGAAAGGTAGATTTTTTCACAATGGTATTGCCTATATTTTCTTAATTTATAGTTTTGGTGATTTGAGCAGTTGGATTCTGATTTGGTTGTTCTGTTTGGTACATAATTATATACCAAATAGATATCATATTTGGTGATTGTTAGTTATATAATTTTTGTGTCATTCTCTTTTTGCTGGATATTAAAAGAAAATTTATAAGACATTTAGGAAGCATAAAGGAAGAGATTTGGGAGTTCTGACCATTCTCATTCTGTCTGTGCAGTTCGACAATCAGCAAGCACTGGGAGGCAGAACTGGCCACGCTCAAGGGTAATAACGCTAAGCTCACAGCAGCCCTGCTGGAGTCCACTGCCAATGTGAAACAATGGAAACAGCAACTTGCTGCATATCAGGAGGAAGCAGAGCGTCTTCATAAGCGGGTAAGTCAAGGCAAATGGCCAGGATCCTTGAGATGGAAGTACTAGTGACTGTATTCACCCATTTTCAAGTAAAACAAGTTTACTGTTGCAGCTTCAGGTTAATCTTTGAGACAGAAATCAATGATTTTCTTAAAAGCATTTCTTCCAGTTGAAAATTATGTGCTTTGTAGGACTTCTTTCTCTGCAAAGGTTATTGTTGCAAGAAGAAATCAAACCTTATGACTTATTTGGCAGCTTTACCTCTTTATCTGATGCTATCATATCTGTTTCATTACATTGTCCATAGCACTGAAGTCCAGTCTCTTCTGCATTTAAGCCCTCAGAAGCTTGACATCAAATCTCTAAGTTCAAGAAACCTTATTGTAATGCCCTCATATAACAAAGATGAAGAGCTTACTCTCCTCCTTGCACAGGAAGGACTGTGAACAATACAAACACAAGGTCACTATATGCAAGTAGAGATCTGCACCTATTTTCATACAGAAGGGTCTGGGTCCTGTTGCCTTCATGACAAATTTTGCAGAGGTCATTTGGCAAACCAGAAGTTAGTTCACAATGCGGGGAAGGAAGGACAATGTTTGAGGAAGGAATATAACATGCAAGGTTGAAGTCTAAGTTATGAAAAGACATATTCTATATCTAATTTTCCTTCTCTTTTCATGCGTAACTCTCTGTATTGTATAGTCTATCAACCTTTACCCATATGAATTTGTCATAGCTTAGGGCAAATTTCTCTCCAAAGTGAAGGCATGAGTAACATGTGAGAAGGAAAGATGTCTTTGATGAAGCTTTATCACTTTTGTTAATAAAGGTTAGCTTAGAAAAAATCATGGAGTTGTACTTCACACTGGAGTGGTGGTATTTACTACAGCATGTATTATAGGACAAGGGAAAATGGCTTTAAACTGAAAGGTGGTAGATTTAGATTAGACATTAGGAAGGTATTCTTTACTTTGAGCATGCTGAGGCACAGGAACAGATTGCCCTGAGTTGTGGATGCCCCATCTCTGCAAGTGTCCAAGGCCAGGTTGGATGGGGCTTTGAACAGCCTGGTCTAGTAGAAGGTGTCCCTGCCCATGGCAGGGGAGGTTCAAATGAGACAATCTTTAAGGTCCATTCCAAATCAGGCCACTCTATGATTCTGTGAGACTTATTTAAGAAAAAAATGCAAAAAACCCAAACTAAACCATTGCAATTTCATGCATGAAAACAGGTGTCATGAATGTGTTGAAAAAGAAGGGTGAATATTGCAGACCTTACGCTTTGGTTTTAAGTGCTGTAGTCACCTATAGAAAATAAGATATAGCAATTACAGCTAGCAAAGACCTGCAAAATCCATCTTTCAGACTGTGCTGGACTTGTCTAACTGGAGGCTGTTCAGGTAGTCCCTAGAATAATCCTATATTCATCTGAGGTGTGAGAAATCCAGTGGGCTATGCCTAACCTGTGTGGAAGAGAAACAAGAATACCCTGCAGTTTAAGAAACTTAGGGAAATGGCAAGTTGTTGGGGATGTCCTACACTTAGACTGACTTGCAGACAACACTCCTGGAGTCCCAGGCAAAGGATTTGATAGGAAAAAACAACAGCTTCCAACAGACTGTAATTGTGTGTACCATAGCTGACTGGACAAAAGGCATGAAATATAATTAAGAATGGTAATTTTTGCAAAGAGCTTTCAGTTCAAGAAATTGGCAGTTGCTGACAAAACTTTGCTTCAGAAATGTTCCAGTCAAGCAGAAGCTTGTAATGTGTGTTTGTACAGAGGGAGACTGCCACTTTGTCTGTCATCTCATTTAAGCTTCTCATTTGGAAAAGTGGGAGTTGTAGCCTGTGCTCCAGGTTTGTGAATAGATTATAACAGCTGCTGTTGATGAAATTATTTAAATTACAGCCTTGTATTAAAGTTACTACAGTGCAAATGTTCAGGTGAATTTGAACACTAGATAGGCTTTACAGTGAATAACTCATGGCTAAAATGTGGACATAATAAGATGGCATTCTTCCTAAAAAAACGTACAGCTTGTGTTGCAAAGCTGAGACAATAAAATCCTTACCTAAGAAAGAAAAGTAATGCACAACAACAGCAGCTGTGTTTGCCTTGGGAGACTCAATCAGACAAGACAGCCAAATATCCCTTTATTTTTTTTATGTTACTCCCACTCTCAGTCAAGTCTTATTGAAAATCTGTTATTGAAGAATTAAATTAATGAAAATAAAATTAATGAATATAGGAGTTTTTAGCATTTCATTTTGCTTTTATTTGATGCTACATTTAACAGTATTAATCAAGACTTTGAGGCTACATTCATTAATAGCTGATGATTTTTCTTAACTTTTTCTTAGCAAATTTCCTGCAGTTATTTGTATTTCTGAGGAAACACAAAATCCATAGCAGGGTATTATCTACACCATGCTCTTTTGATAATTTCTTAAATTCCTTTATTAGGTGATTCTGTAACCTGTAACTTCAGGACTTGTTGATATTTCACAAAGAATTTAGGAACACTCTGTTCCTAACTCTCTCTGGGAATGCCAATAAATTAGCACAGGGTAGTTCATTGGAAGTACTGCCCTCTGTTGGAATTGCTTTTAGAAAAATTTAGACTTGGCTAACCCAATGAATTAAATTCTCTAAGCAAAAAAATGTATGTAGTGTTAAAAAAATTTCTATCTCCATCTGTTACCATACAGTGCAGTGCAATACAAAAACTCTTCTAAACTGCATGCTGGAGACTGATCTTTCAAACTGAATTAGTGCCTCACTTCAAAAAGAAACTGCAAGTCAGATGCTTCTTTCTTATAGAGATCAAAAATATGCTGTTGAAGTGGCAGATCTTGAGACTGTTGGTTACAGTACATGTGGCAGTAAGCAGTGTTCAGTCCTTGTCTTGTTCTATCTTTCTGTGCAGTTTATCTGTTCTGTATAAGCATGTAGCTGCAGTTGATCCAAAAAATGTTCCCCAAACTGGAATCAATCTCACCTGAGATTATGTATAAATTATATATCTATGTTACATCCTGCCCTTTAAGGCAGGGTAACCCATGTTCTTGTTATTAAATCCCTTGGGGAATATTAGAGTGAAACTGAATAGTCAGTGTCTGTAAACATATAGATATATATATAGTTTCTTTTAGAACAATTTGGTTGGAAAGACAAATAGCCAATTGTAGCCATTTTAGTCCTTATTATCTGCAGTAACATAGCAATATAAAAGTATAAAAATAGCTCTTAAAAATGTGTAAGGAAAAGAAAGAGAAAAAAAGGCAAATATGGAAAGATCTATAGTCAACCGCCCTTGCTGGCTCAAGTAATGAGACTTGGTATAATTTTGATGTCTGTTGCTTGAAGTGAAGATGTTGGTCCATCAGGGGTGTGGGAAGTCCACAAAAGTGAAAAGATTTCATGAGTTTTATATGCTCAGGTTCACTGTTGTTACAGCTGCCTATTATGGCAGTGCAGTCTAGCTCAATATGGCCCATCAGCAGAGATGAGCCCCTTCAGGCCCATGTGAATGTCCTGATATTGCCCAGGCAGCCCTCTGCACTTGGGTGGGTACTTTCCACATCGTCAGATTGCCCCCTGAATGTGTGAGACCTTAGCATTCCAGTCTCTCTTCCAGTATTACTTGTGGATACATTCTTCTCCCCAGACCTGGAATGGTTGGACAATAGCATCCCCTTTATCTTTAATCTCAAGTTCCAGTCACAATCCAAATTCCAGTTAGTAGGTGTGTTTGGGGAGGGGTGGGCTTTGGTGGTCATAGATGAACAGCTGCTTCCTTGCATCTTGCTATAGTGGGCAAAAGCCCTCCAGTGATTTTACCAATATTTACCCATTAACAATTTCAGTGTCTCGCAGTCTAAGATAGTCATCTTTTTTTCCTAGTAATTCTTCTAGAGACAAAAGCATGAAGAGTTAGAGTTCCACTCTTAAGGAAACTGTCTAAGGTTGCTTCTCTTTCTTTGATTTTGGTTGCATATTTAAAATAATTCCACTTTTCTTTTTTGGCCATCTCTGAGTAAGTATAAGGTTTACTCATCTATCAGTTCAGTTTTTTGTGTTAACGTACATTTGTTTGCTTCCTCTGGGAACTTTATCTTCCTTCTTCATTTGCTCTCTGCCTTAATAATGCCTAGAGCTGACATAAAACAGAATACAGATTCAGTGTGGCTGAGTGAAACATTCTCAATAAATTAAAGTGTTGTGCTTTCTCCTGATACATTCTAAGCTTAATTCAGAAATACTGTATTTTGATATTTTGTCAGACAGTTTATTTTTCAGAAGTTTGCTAAATGGGTATATGGATTTTTACCTCTCAAATACAAAGAGATAATTCTAGGAAAATGTGATGCCCAGTCACGAGCTTAACTTGGAGCTCTCAGCCTTCTCTAATCTGCTCAGAAACGACAAAAAATTTCCCTTAAATGTGGCTGGTGAGCACTCCTACACACCTTGCATAGCTTTTTGACATCAAAAGGGATTCATGAGTCTAAAACAGCTCAGTAACAGAAAGAAAAACCCTGAAGTAAGCTATTTCAGACAAATAGAATAGCATGGGCCCTAACATTAATCCTGCTACCACAAAGAGGAAAAGATTGAATGATGATATAAATTACGGAAAGTAACCCAAAGTTCTGTCTTTGTCATGTTAAAAAAGAAAATGATTAATTTTTTTCATGCACTCTATCTGCTAAAGTAAATCATCCTATGACACTGGGCAATAGCACAAAGTAATAACACCAGTGCATAATAATAAGAGCTGCAGTCCTTGAAGATCATTCATCTTCAGGAAAAAAAGCCTAAGATAAAAAGAGATGAAGGGAAGTGATCAAGCTCCTGGGTATTGATGAAAGAACAGAGAGGTAAACTCTTGAATTCTAGCTTGTTATTTTTCAAAAATTTCCCATAAAATAAGGTAAAAATTAGGCTATTGTGTTTGTTCATTCAATGAATGAATTAAGTGTGAGATATCTTATGTAGTTATTAAAATCACCTGA